ATTTTATTCCAATTATTATATAATTGTCACACACTGTCATAGTAATTTTTGTATACAATTTGTATAAGTCTCCACGATTATGTATGCATACACATATTTTCTCGAAACTTATGGTTTTTATTTTTTAATGTCGAAATATTAACCGTCTACGCCATAAAACCATTTACTAATCAAATGACAAAATTTTAATAAGTTCATATATTTCTTTCATCCTCAAATTAATGTAATTTACGATAGGTTAAATTTTTTGTTATCTATTACGAGGATTAGATAATCCTTCAGTTGGGTTGCGTGAAAAATGTCATGCTCGGAGTAATATACCTAGTTATTCGAATTCTACTCATATATGTATGAAAAGATGGTAAATAAATAAACTTATTTGTTTCCAGAAATCCTCTAATTTAGGTATTTTAATTATTCACATATGAAATAGCAAACTAAATAATGTTTTCATTTCCAATCTTTTTGTATTTACCCAATCACTAATCCTAGACTTGTCAGAGACAGAAATTAAAAAAATTTCAATAGCATAAATATAAATCTATTTGTTTAATAAAATATGTATTTATTTGTACTTGTTTATTGATTTTTTGACTTTTACTGATTTTTTGATACATGTTTAACCAATTTAAAATTATACTCAAAGTTATATTTTTTATTTTTTACTGATTTTAATATCACAGTTAATGCTTATTTAAATATTAATAATAACTACGGTTTTAATTAAATGCACTTTTTTTTTTAAATTGAATTGCGCTTATGGGTTTTTAAAAAGATATTTTTTTTTTCGAATTTTTAATTTTATTATATTTATTTAATATTTACAATGATTTATGCACATATGCCTTCACAGTACTCTCCTCCGAGTCTAACACAATTGGTCCAGCGTTCTTCCCATTTCTGGAAGCACTTTTGGAAGTCTCCAGAATTTAAACACTTCAACACCGTTGTAACGGCACGTTGTATGTCTTCCAAATCCTCATAGCTATGTCCTTTCATTGGTTCTTTTAAGTTTGGAAATAGCCAGAAGTCCAGTGGAGTTAGATCAAGGCTGTACGGGGGGTGGGAGAACGTTGTTATGTTTCTACTGGTCAAAAACTGTTGAACTTTTAATGATAAGTGTGCAGGCGCATTGTCATGGTGAATGATCCAACCATTTTTGGCTAATTCCGGTCTCACACGAGACATTTTATGACACAATCGCTTATGAACTTCAATATAAATTACTCCTCTTACACCAACATACTTAAACGTTTGACATTTTGCTTATTGTGCACTATTTTAGGGGTACCCGAGCTCGTATCGTTTAGCGTTAATTCTCGACCTGATGCGAAACGTGATGCCCATTTGTACACACTTGGTTTTGATAAGCAGTCATTACCGAACACACGCTGCAATTAACGAAAAATTTCGGCCGTTTTTTTACCAGATTTTACCAGATACTTGATAACGATTCGTTACTCGTTTTTCACGTCACACATTTTTGTACGTCACGACACTACACTACTAACTTTAAAAAATCGGAGAGTTCAAAATATAACACTGATCATTATCAAACTTAGCAGACGTATGTATTACCTCGTGAACTTTAAGTCAACAAATTTTCAAGATATTTGAGTTACAATTATAGAAGCTAGAAACATATTCTCGTTATTTAATTTCACACCTCGTATTTTTGCACTTTTGGGTTGCGTTTGGATCATATTTTGTGCTTATGGGCTATAGTCAATATTTTAACAGAATGTTTAATATTTTCCAATTAGGTACTGTTTAGTCTACGACCTTTGTAGAGTACTATGGTTTGTGTTTTACCGTGTACTTATTTAATTTATTAGATCACTCAATTATACTTTGTCTTTATTTATTTATTGCATTTTTTGTCCACAATTCTTTATTTTTTAATGTATATATTTAACATTTTTCATGCATCTTAAGCTATTTTTATAGTGCATAAACATCCTAATCCTACCTATAATATACAATTTTATAAAATAATAATTCTTAGTTACAACTTGTAAGTATATAAAAGAATTTGAAATCAGGTGCATTTTTTTTACTAAAATAAACTAACCTTATTTTAATTATTGTACCAAGTACGAGTATTGTAGTAATATTATTGTATACAACTTTTGAAAATATATATTAATTCGTTATAAAATTAATATAATACCGACATTTTGATTTTTTTCAAATCAAAATTTTAATGAAAAATTAGATTTTTAAATTTTGAATAATATTAAGAATTTTGTTAATTTAGGAGTGGAAAAATTAATTATAAATATAAAAAGTATTTTAAAGTATCTAAGTTTTATTACAATTTCAAACAAAAATTATTTAAGGAAATTAATGGGATAAATAGGTAAATTATCATATTATTAAACAAAAAATAAATAAATAAGTAATTTATATTTATTTAGTGCATTATTGATATTACGTACGTAAATGCTTCGCTATTTATATACTATATAGTTATACATTGATTATAATTTATAAAGTACCTATTGTATTTATAATATTATATGATATTAATCACGTGTTATATATAATTACACATTTTACACATTTTAAACATTCACACAAATTGTTTTTGTGTTTTTAGAAAATTGACTTATTGAACGGATGATATTGAATTCCCTTAATATTACAATACATTTATTAACTGATTTGTCTAAAATGTAGTAAATATATATATATTTTTTTAATTAGGAAAAATAGTTTGCATAAATGTTATTTATCAATATGAAATGCATAGAATTATAGTTAATTTATAATAATTGTATATGCAATATGCAGTATGTAGTATATAAGTACCTATTTTAAATGATTTAAAAAAAAATATCATGATTATGATATTAAAGTTACAATACACTGTATATTTGTGTAAGCTTTTCCTTCTAATTTAGGTGTGTTAATGGTGAAAAAATTGTTATCCAAAACAGTTTTAATTACATCCAGTGTTACTGATACGGTGAAACCCATAAGCCCATAAGACATAAATCGTCTATTTTTTCGATAGATCAAAAGCGCGAATTCATTTTGCTCTTTTGTACCTTAGTACTGAGATAAAAGCGCAAAAATAAAGATTGTGCCTGATACACTTTAAGTTTGATTTTAAAATTATTAATTACTTAATTGAATTATTCATTTTAATTAAATATAATATAATATTTTTATAATTCAAAAATACATCAACAGTGATCGAGTTCAGTTGAAGTTTAGTATTATCGACTATAGTATTGTATTTTATCGTAAAAAATCATGGTGAAAGTTGATAATCATTTGAGATAACTATACTATATATACAGTATAAACTTATATCAAATGGTACTTGACTTGATAGTTGATATATATTAAAATTGTAATTATATAGATTATTACTGCATGGCTTTTGATTTATTTTTAATTGAAACATGTTTTAACTGGTATATTATCAGATAATTATGATTTTAATAAAGTATATACTTTATTTATTGTGAAATTTATTTGCACTTATGGATTTTTAAAAAGGTTTTTTTTGCGCTTACAGAATATTTATTTTTGCGTTTTGGATCATATTTCACGCTTATAGGCCACAGCCTTCCTGATTATTTATACCTATTAATTGAGTATAATTTTTTAATATTTAAAGAACAAATTAAATGTTTGTCTTTTCCATTTAAATTTAAAAAAAAGCCTCTGTTTAAATTGATTTACACACCTTACAATTATTATTACAGGTACCTATTACTCATTGTAATCATTAATATTTATGCGGATTTGTTTGCGGTATTCGTTCTTCAAATGTATCTAAAATCTTTTCATTGTTTTAGAAATTATATACAATTTCTATTACACAATGTCTTTTATTTCAACTGTTTATTACAAAATCTTTATAATTCAATGACAGCAAGTCACATAATCTAAATAATAAATGCAATAATAGGTGATTGAACATAAAAATACATAAAATTAATTTTGGATTTATTTTACACATTATATTAAACAAATTAGAATAAAATGTTAAATAACGCATAGGTTTTTATAACTAATTGAAATATAATCGAACATTTAACATGTATTCAAAAGTTTTTTTAGGGGGGGGAGGTCAAAAATGGAACTGTCAGCATGAATTAATAGCATAAACTGTTATGGACTTATGTTAATCGATAGTATTGTTTAATAGACCCGCGAGAAATTCAATACCTGTAATACGGCGACGTTTAACCAATTAGGCTAAATCCAGGTGAGTAGCAATTGTTGTATAGTTATGAATTTATAAGGTGCACAAGGTATTTTAAGTATGAAGCTAGCATAGTGTAGGAAGCTGGGAAATGGTATTTTGCGTCAATTTTATTACTTGTAATTTGCGCCAAAAT